TTCGGCTTCGCTCGGCGCATCACGGCTGGCGGGGGGTGGGGGAGGAGCGTCATCCATAGCTCAGCATGTCACAATATGCTTTGCGCAGTGCAAGTCCACCATAACCATTCAGTGCAATTTTATATATATATGAAAGAGAACCCCCAAGTGCCACATCAATACATCTTTGGTTTACTTAATTTAAGGAAACAGTAACCATTTTGAAACAGAACTCATTAGGAAGCATTCAAGACTTCAGAAGAGAATGCTGAATGAATGAGGGTAAGATATATATGGAGTCCAAATATCTTGATCTCTTGCCACAATTTGCAACTTGGTATGCCCAAAACCACAGGCCAGAAGTATTGCATAAGCAGCTGAGATTATATGCTAACAGAATTCGGCTGAGACTCCTGAAAAGAGTGAGATATGCAAATTTCATGTTACACAAAGTTGATTAAGATTTTGTACATTGAGAGCTTTTGACAGATGAAGCTGTGTTTCATATTAGTAGCTGTGCTAATAATGACAACTGGCAGATCAAAGGAACATAACAGCCGCATGAAGATTTCGAGTATATACATATGGTGTAACACTCTAACATGAACATGTGGTGGAATCTTTCTTTTTAACACATAAAGCATCATGAAAGGAAACATTTATCCTGATGTGTTAGAATTGTTTGCTTTCCCACAAACTAAAGATATCAAAACTGAGAAAGGAACTCTTCATTGTTTTCCAACAAGACAGGCCTCTACTCCATTTCAATCATGAAGTTCAACTTATTCTGAACACTAGGTTTCCTAATCAGTGGATTGTAAGATATGAACTAATAATCCAGCCTCCAAGAAGTCCAGATCTTAAACCACTGGATATTTCACATTGGGATATGTGAAAGACATGGCATATGCAGAGGATCAACAATTTACATTACTTGCAAGAGAGACTTTATGCTGCTGTAGTGACAGCCATTTTGGACGTGCTTTATCATATCTGGGAGAAAAATGGAATAAGTCTGGGATGTGTGCAGAGCTGTAAATGGTGCTCACACTGAGACTTATTAAGAATATATGAACATTTTGAGTTCTTCTCCAAGTAATAAAGTAAACAATTTGTTCTGTTTCATGTTTCATGAGTTACTGCATCTTCAAACTGGGGAGTTGTTTTTCAATGACCCTGTATGTTAATAAACAAGTAGCGTGAAACAAAGTGACATTGTTGGGTGCATGAATTTATCAATTTTTTTGCAGCATTTTAGAACCATCTTTGCCTGCTAATAAATACTGACCCTAGAGAGGAAATAACATATTGAATATTTCATAACCATTTGAATATTATCTTCATAATTTTGCCACATGATTGCAAACTTCATCTCCATCTCATATTGTCCCAGTGTATATATTTGGGGATTTGATGTTATTTTAATATAAAAAGTGTGACATGTGACTTTATGTTGACAGATTGACAGAAGGAGGACTTAATGCAGATGCTGCCTATCCACCATGTGCAAACAACAAGGCTGCCATCAACCTTGTGCTCAATGTTCCACCAAAGAATGCCAATGGAAAGAATGCAAATTCATCAGCAGAGAACAAACCAATTCAGAAGGTTAAGAAGACATACATTTAGCAGAAGTCTGTGTTTCTTTTCCTGATGCAGGCACACGTTACTCGTTTTACAAAAACACTGCTAAAAAATGTGCTGAGGAAAGTCAAAGAATTGTGAATATATTAAAGAGGAAAAACAGTTTGTTTTACAGTGCAGTGTTTAGTGATTTTGTTTCCTAGTGCTGGTAGAGAGGATGACATGGCAGAGAATGCTTATGGGGTGATCTGTGTCACAGAGGATGACAGGTAACATACCTTTCTCAGCTGAGACTTTCATAATGAAGAGTATGTTTTCTGAGAGAGTGAAGGCAGCTGATCATACTGTACCTTTCTTGGAGTTTCAATTCTTCCTATTTTATTGTGAATAGCAACCATGACAGGGAATGAGAGATGTCTTATCACATTCCAAGATAAGAGGCGGCTATAGACTTTAAACATTTGTTGTATTGAAGAATTTTATATTTGTAGCCTTGCTTGCATGCTGTGCCAACAGATGTGGAACCGACAACATTGAACTGAACTAATTTTTATAGGTTCATTATAGAGAGATCGTGATAATAGTTTTGCATGTATCAAGAGATGCACTCAGTGGAGTGTGCTTATGTGAGATGGAGAGAACGGTGCAGCAGTGTGCTTACAGTCGGACATATAAACATCAACACAGTTTTATAGAAATGAAACACTTTCTTAAAAAACAAAATTAGGTTTTTTTCATAGAATGTGCAGTTTGTGCAGTTTTGCATTGTGGGTTACTGAATATGATATCTTAGAGCAGGGTGTTTACAAATGCACTGATATTGCATACTCATTATTTTTAAAGTAATGTATAGACTAAATCTTTAATATTATTTACCACAGTAGTGATGTGAAGAAGTGAGCATGGAAAAGTAGATCAAACATTTCCAGTTCAAACAATAAACTCAAATCAGAGATCTCAAATTTCTTCATTCAGTAGAAAATTCCATGGGGATACACCATGTGGAGATGATGAATGTTATGAAGAATTAGATTTACATTATATTATATTATTTTAAATTGTGGTTTTTAATCACCCTGCTGTTTTATATGCCACTTTTTAAAGTCATATTTTTCTTTCCCAGTTGTGTGAATGTTGTGTGTTTTATATTACCGACTGTACATAGCCAGTGAACCCACCCATACTTCCAGTATTGTTTGTGTGCAGATAGTTTAATCCGGCCTGTACAAATTAGTGCTAAGATTCTCTATTGCATATTATTATTTCATATGCACACTTGATTCACCTACAAGCTGCATTATAAATATAAAAAGAAAGACTGAGAGATGAAAAAAAATTATTTGTATATAAGTAATTGTAAATAGTTCAGTTACATGCATTGTTAATACTACATGAAATAAATTTTCATTTTAATGATTCTGTATTAAAGTGAACAATTATCTCACAAGAGGAGATTTTTATTAAAAGTGGATCATATGAGAGTAGTAATTGTGAAATATTTCTTTATATTTTAATTTCAACTGTATAGAAACTCTTCTTGTGATGACACTAAGGCTTGGAATCTACTTACATACTAGTTATTAGATGTTAAACTGCGTTACTAATTTGGCTGCTACCTGACATTTCACGAATCCAGCACTGCATATATTTACAACTCCTAGTTTTGTAATGGTATGAGTGTGAAGGAACACAGAGTTGAAAACTGGTTTTCACAGGAAGTCAGTTTTGTGTGTTGTATTTTTATCCTTCCTTACAATGACAGGTTCTTCCATAAATTTGATGAAAAATATTCACAGAATTTGGACATATTCTTGGGCAGAAACTCCTTATAAATGTGTCATTATTAACTACTAAATACTCAGGTGAGTACTTTTCTATAAGATTTCCTATGTTTATTATAAAAGTATTTTTTGAGGTGAAAGGGATTAAGTGAGACCAATGTTGAAGATGTTTGTACTTCTGACATGATGCCATGTAACACAGATATCACCCAGAACTAATGGTATATAAATCAGCACCAACTTTCGTTATTATTTTGTGATCAAAGTGTAACAGCAAAAGTTTTCAGTATTTTGATTATTAGAGTATTTTGACAGTAAGGTGAAAGGAACTAAGTGAGACCATTGCTGGGGGTGAGTGTGATGGGAGGTGAATGGCAATTTAATTGTAATTCAAAATAGTGTGAACAGTATGATCGGTATACTGTGAAACCTCTATTTAATAGTTCTATGGAGAGCACATTAAACTGAGGAAATCTTAAGTAGAGGGACTTTAACACTGATTAGGACTGCTGAAGATGTATGAGAAGTAATGAAAACCTGAAGCTGAGGAATATTAAATGGGTGTTCCACTATATCTGAAAGGTTGGAAAACCTGCTCACCACAATATGATTGCAATATATTGCAATCATTAAGTGCAATGATGAATACAGTATAAAAAGCAACCAAATGAAATGTGTAAATTTCAGCAAACCACCATAAAAGCTGTGAAAATTTATGTGATTAAAATATGTGTTAGTTAAAGAATCTTTCATATATCATATTAAGATTACTGAATAAATTAAATCTGCAACAAAATATTTCCTTGATGTGTGTTTTTTTTTGGCAACTTTCTGGGTTTGTGTCTATGTTCTTAAAGAAAGGTCAGTTTGGTGTATAACTATTTTATGTTAATGAGTGAAGGAGATTTATCTTATGCCTGTAACAGACTTATGAGCCAGACTCTGCACTTCTAAGTACAGAATCCAGTGTTGAAGACTGGAAGTTATTTTGACTCGGTTAGAAGTTAAGTTGTACTTATTTTCAAGGGCAAGCTGAGTACTATGAAATGGAGAAGCACATTATGCAAACTTAGTGAAAGTATCTTTATTGATAAGCTTGTAATTAAATTCCTACATGGTGAATAATTTCTGTCCCTGCAATTCACAGCTTTATGGATTCCTTAGTGCCTTTAGATCTAAATCAACTGAAAGATCTGCAAAAGTCCAGTTCTATAAAATAAAGTAATGGTTATTCATTGTTGCTCATAATTACGATTTTTTATTCAAAATTTCAACTAAAGCCTCCTTGTATAGATCTTTCATCATTATCTGTTTTAAAATTCATTGTTCCCATGGTGTGATAGAATTTTTAAATATACCATAGTATTATATTTCAGCATCTTGTTGCATTGATACATAACTTGTTCACTTGATTCCGTCTCTAATGCAACATAAACTTTTATTTTAAAATGTCATTAAAATCGTATTTTATTTTAATGTTGCAACATGTTTCGGCCCCTTAAGGCCATCTTCATAGGCCATAGGTCATCATTTGAGAATGTGTGCCCACACTTAGACATATAATTACTGTTGCTGTTTGTTTTTTAAACAGTAAAATTCTAATATAAACACTCATTTCATTCATTAATAGGATGAATGTCCCAAAGTATTTTCGTGATATCAACGCAAGAAAGTCAAATTATAGTTAACAGCACATTAACTTAGATCCTTAACCTTAACTTTAGCTGCCCCCCCTCCCCATATCCCTCCCCCCAGCCATGTAACTGTTCGACAGGTCTCAGAACACCTACAAAATGTGTATAGTGTGAAGAGACTTCTGTAAGAGTGCACGTGTTAATCCATGGAAAGCAATGTAGTTGCGAGTGCGCAGTAAAGCTAAGCCTATTAATGATCTTCTGTACTGATCACAGGATCTTGAAATAAAAATTGTACTATTTTAATATAGACGTCAAAACTACCCTTATTTTAACCATTCTCGTTTTTGTAGTCTATCTGAATTACATTTTTTGCATTTAACATTCTAGTTAGTATAAAGTAAAACTAAGGTAACAATCAAAACAGTCACGTGATTCTAAATTGAGCATGAAATTAGTGAAATGGTAAATTATCATTGTTTAAGGAATTTAATCAGCTTATCACTAATTGGATAATTTTGACATTTAAGACAAGGTGCAGGGTTTCTCATTTGCTCCCTTAGTTCATGTCATGATTAAGGGATGGCTTGTCACAGTACAGTACAGTAATTTTAATATGCCTGACAAAAATTGCCTCTTGACTAAAACTGGTCAGACCATGGGCAGTCTGATAAATTTCCAGCCAATTCTGAATGCATTAAACATACATATATGTAAAAATTTAATTCACTGAAAGTTTTCATTGTCTGTCTGTGCAAGAGATGCTGAAAAGCATTTGTGACTTGTAGCAAACCCATTGCCTCGCAAAGTTCAAAATTTCTGTGTAACCTGTAAATGTTTATGTCAGGTAGTAGTCAAGTTGAAACAATGCGGTACATGAGCCTTAACAACACGTGATGTGTTCTGTTGTATGCGTTGCAATGTCAGACTATTGTAATGGAGAGAAGAATCAGGATTGCTGAAAGGATAAAAGTGCTTCTGTTAATGATTAAATTACATATGAAAATAAGAGGTGATAGCTTACATCTAAAATATTAAACAAAGGTAACTGAAATTGTGTCCAAAGTGAGTTGAGATGTATACCATTAGCAAAATTAGAAGTTCTAGTCCTTGAACCATTTAATAAATATGTACTTCTCTTTGGAAATTCAAAGAATCTTTATAATAGGGAATATATATGCTCATTTCTAGGAAATAATGTGAAATTATACATGTGGAATTTAGTAAAATTTATTGCCATGAGGACATAACATTGTCTTAGTTCACAAAAAATAATTTTTGTTGCTGATATACATACCATCTCGTTTTAAGCACTGAATCTAGGTTACTACTGTTACAGCAGAGTGTTGTTCATATACTGAAGTGTAGACAGACTGTATGGTACCTTTCTGCACCTATTTTTTTAACACTTAGCAGGCTAATTTTCTAGATGTGTTGATCACCTTTATGCTGTGACAGTATAATTCTAGATGAATATTATACTTTTAAATTATGGTAGGTTCAGGATATTTGGTCTCGAAGTAACTTCTATACCTTTCTTATTAAATGTGTCGGTGATTTGTAATAAGGGTGAAAATCAACTTTGATTCGCCCTTTGCATGTTCATTTAAATTAAATTCTGAAGTTTGAGTTTCTTCCAGGCCAAACATCCAATGACGACATATTAAGGGGCATGTTAAAAGGTGTTGATTCTAAACTTTTGAAACTTGTTTATGGAAACTGCATGTTATCCATTAGTATGAATTAATGGATACTGTAATATATGTATTGCTATGAATTGTAAGCTGTGCATATATTTTAAAAACTTCAGACCATTATTGTAAGTTTTGTGAAAAATACAACACTACAAATCAGACATTTTGTGCATTAAACCATTAATATGCCTATACCAACATAAATATGTAACACTCCTGTCATTTATTTACTTGCTATTAAATGAGCTTAAGTGAATCCTATCATCACAGTACTCATGTGAAAAAGAACCATCACTGCTGAGATATTACAAATCCTGCAGTTCTTGTATCTGTCAAAGCAGTTGCAATTGGTATAGTAACTAGCTATGGGCTGGACGACCGAGGGATCGCAGTTCAAGTCATGGTGGGGTCAAGAATTTTCTCTACTCCACATCATCCAGACCGGCTCTGGGGTCCACCCAACCTTGTATCCAATGGGTACTGGGGGCTCTTTCTCTGGGGGTTAAAGTGGCCGGAGCATGAAGTTGACCACTCACCTCCAGCAGCTAGTGCTGAGGTCAAGAAAATGTGGATCCCTACATCTACTCTCCCTTACACCTTCATGGCATAGTGCTTAATTAGTTAAGCACAGGGACAACTTAACCTCTACATTTTACCTTACGTATATCATGTGCTATATATTAATCTCATTTACAAATTATTTTGAAACTTTCCTGGACTGTTAGTCTTTCCTTAGCATAACGTCAAATGTTAAAAGAAAGCTGTAACCAGCATAACTGCTGTGGGATGGCAGCTGAGAGGCAGTGAAGGGGAGGTAACCCTGGAAACTGGTAAACTCAAAATCATGTGCAGGGTAACTGGCCTTGTGCTTCTACCACGCATAAATAAACTTCCTGCAGGTTCATCATGTATGGAAAAACCATTGCAGAAACAAAGAGCTAACAGCACGTGCAGCCATCCAGCATCTCACAGAAATCACACTGTGACATGATGGGTGAAAGCCATTGCTGTGCAATAGTGCGGTAAACACGTTGGCATGGCAGTGAATGAACAGAACAACAGAGGAACCATGGAAATGGTGCAGTCCAATTCAAGGCTATGTAGCAAGGACCACCAGATGAATTGAGCCCGTAGAGTTGTAAGGCGGTAAAATATAGTTCTGAGTCCCCCATAACTCAGAACCAGGAATGACTATGCTGGCAAGGAGCCATGGCAGTTTACTTGAGACCGAGTTGACCCAGTCTCGAGTTGCACTGTTACATGCTGCTACCGAGTAGTGACTTGTGAAGACATAGTAGTGATTTGCAGAGTGGGCAGAGTAGTGAAAATGATATAATTAGTTGTAGTTGTGAGTTAGAAGCATTCAGTACACCAAACTGTCAATCCAAACCCTGTGTCTAATCAATAACACATGAAAATACTTCAGAGGCTGAATATTTTTCACAGTGTAATATATTTAGTGCTAGTCATAGTGACCGAGTGGTCTAAAGCATGCACTGTCTTCGCTTGCTTGGAAGCTGGGATCATGGGTTTGAATCCCACTCAGGACATGGGTGTTCAGTGTTTGTGTGTGTGCATTTTTCTGTGTTTGTGTCCAGGTAGAGGGCTTGCGATGAGCTTATCACTCGCACAAGGAGTCCTACTGAATGTCTAAGATCTAGTAAACTGAAGCAAAACGGAGAGTTTCATGGAGGTAGGCCAAGGCCCAAATTGGGGTTGTAGTGCCAAAGGAAAATCAAAATATATTTTAGTGCTGAACTCAAAAATATAATTTTGAGCACACAGAAATATTGAATTACTTCTAAAAGAGTTTGACTATCAAATGCCGAAAGTTTAATTTGTTATCAGAGAGCACAAATTCGTTGTTTCATAACTGTCACTTCTAATGTTACTGTTGGAAAGAGTGGTATGACTGGGTACAATGAAAGAAAGGCTTTCAAAGTGACGAGGGTGATGCTCCAGCTGTCAAATTGTAAGTACAGACCATTTTTAATTTTTCTTGTCCCACTTTCAAAGCCACAAACATGGCATGACAACTGTACTTAAGGTCAAAATGAGGATAATGAAGGGTGCAGCAAGTCTTGACTAGCAAGATAGCTCTTTGGCCTTTTACTGTGCCCATGTATCACTTCCATTATTAGTAATATACAAAGGATTTATCTGCCACTACTTATAGAATATGATAAGTTCAAGATAATCATAAACTTCGTAAATTTAGAATTTTGATTTTCTAATTACATCGTTAAATTTAATGAATACCTGAGGGACATGCCTAAACCAGTCCTTGCACCACGACTTTCAATGATATGTTATGCATACATCCTTACGTTAATTTAATTCAAATAATTCTACAGAACTCAGTTGGGCAGTTGCATCGCTGGTGAACCTGCAGGTGAAATTTTACAAGTCAACCCAACATTTGAGTTGCCAGGGGCTGACCTAAGCCAACCAAACTAGTCTTGAGCCAGGCTATGGAGTGAGATAGACGTGCTGGATGGTATGCACAATTCAGCTGACTATCTAACCCACCTGGCCTAAACTAACTGAACCAAATACAAGTGAAATCCTCGAGGTCTGCCTAAGTGCCAAGGTGGATGCGCAAACCTGATCTAACATAACCAAACCTAGCCTAAACCAATGCCATACAATTTGTTCCAGTAATGCCCTGGTATGCAAGTGGATGTTTAATGTGCACAGATAGAAACCTAAGTCCATGCTATTTAGACCGGTGAGTAAACTGGATCTAAAAGTTTGAGATGGTGGTACATTAGTATAAATATTATGTTTTTGGACATTGTACATCATCCTAAAAACTGTCCTGTATATTTTTTGAAACAACGTTTTGGAGACTGGATTCTGTCTCCATGTTCAGGTAAAACCTACTCAGTTGGGCCCAATCGATAGAGCTAGTTGATGGCTAATGTCCAAAAACATAATAGTTGTACAGTGAGTAAATTGTTCTAACGTAATGTAAAGTAACACAATCCAATGTGAACTGGTTGGCCTAAAAATCTGTGGCTTTAGTCTGCAAGCAAACTATACCTACCAAGCGACCGCCACTTATTGGCAAAGTTAGTGCCAACTTTAGCGGATAGAGGGTGTTGCATGGTCAGCGCAACGACTCCCCACGGCCGTTAATTCTGGTTTTCTAGACCGGAACCGCTACTTTTCCATTCAAGTAGCTCCACAACTATCCTCATGGGGCTGAGTTCCAGACTTCTCAAGAAATCTGGTAGCGCCGGGTATCGAACCCGGGACCTCTGGATCTGTAGCCAGGAGCTCTGAGCAGTAGACCACAGAGACAGATTGCTTATGCAACATTCAGATGAGTTATCCAGGCCCTCCTGTGTAAGTTATAACCTAATCCAAGCTGATGTATTATAAAGATCTATCTTACCTCACGAAATTGACAATTATATATTGTAGAAATTTTGAAAATTTCTCAAACCCCATATACTAAGTACCCAAAGATATTTTACAAAGATTCGGAATATAAGATACCGAAAATTTTATCATATTTTTAGCTCATGAATAGCGTTGCGAAGTAAATTAAAATGTCCGAGAACAGTGCACATGTTATAAAAGTAAGTATTCTACTTTGGAGAACAGGTTATACTAAAACTACAAAGCATTAGTTGCAATTGGGATTTTATAGTTATAAAAGCCATGGAGTATGACACCGATCTGCAGACCTTCATAACCTGAAATCTTGGATTACTTCGTAAAATCGAAAAACGAACTTCAGAAGGTTGTAATGAATTTGAAAATTCCAGAAGATATATGAATGTGAACATTTTCAAAATACTCGTAACTGCCCTTCCAAAGTTCAAATCAATTACAAGGCAATCCGACGTAAAGCACATGTGCAGCCATTTGTGGAGAGCGGATGAAGGAAATGAATTAGAAGTTTGTAGTCACAGGTCAATTTATTTCAGGATCGTATCATATCATATAATTTATTATCATTCAAAAATCCATACATACAGGTATTACGACCATTTGGATAAGGAAATTGTCAGTTTTATATCTAATTCTCGTGCATATCTTTACAGTATACACTGTACCACCCTAATATAGGGGGTTTGTCGTGAGCATCGTGAGTTTCTTCTTGAATGTTCTTGAAGTGTTCTTGAATATCTGAGGCATGTGCCTAGCACAGGTACTGGGCTAGGTACAGCAGCATTGTAACTATTCTTTATACATTTCTCAGGACCATATTTAAAGTTACTTGCAGACATAATATGTTGCTGCTGTAATGTGGCGAACGTGGGGAAGGTACTTCTATGGGGAATTTCTTCCGCTGTAGAGAGAGATAATAGTGTGATGTTGGATACCATGTGATAAGTAGGCGGCTGAAGTGAGCAGGTTGATACCTGCGAGTTTGTTCTTGTGAGAAATAATTTTAACAGGTACGAAAGAAAACTCGTATTTTACGGTGTCAGTATGGTCAGTAGTAAGCGCTGCTAAAGTGTTACCCTTAAACTGAACACTAAGTTCACGAATTGGGTGTAATGAACACCAAATACATGACGTTTCCCAAGAATTGGCATGTATGTTGACGGATTAGCTATGTATCACATCTCAGTTGTATTTTATTTATATTATTTCAGATTGTACCCAAAACTGACCGTTTTAATTCATGTGGGTTGGGACACGTTACCCACTTACAGTATTTCATATGTTTATTTTTTCATGCTTTAATTTTTCGATAGTTTAATACATTCTGATCTTCCACATTAAATTAGTTGTTGTATTTTGAATAAATGCAAAATGTATCGTTTTACCGTCTGTCACTTCAGTTTGTGGCTGAAAATTGTCTTAAATTTACCCTGTTTTGGACACTTCTATCGCATGTTTTAATAATAGAGGATGCAGTATTATCTGTCCTTAAAACAAAAAGACTCGCTGGCAAATGTAACATCACAATGCAAAGTTAAGAAAGGGGAGATATGAATACTGTTTACTAGGATAGGTTGAGTTCTCTTGGATTCTCAAAAGTAGTACTGTTATATAAACAAATATTCAATGCCATTGCACTGTTAGATGCCAGTACCATTCTTGAAAACTGTTTTTATCAAAGATAGTAATTATAAGATTTTAAAGGTACAGAGGAATGGAATATAATTACCTCCAGTGCTGTTTATAAAATATAATAGACCACGTTGAAAATTTTATAGGATCAGTTAAGTTGAATTAGTTGATGTTTTTCTTTTGCAGGAATTCATATTGTATGGAACATTATTTCAGAAGTTTTCTGGGTGGATGCTTCATATACCACCCTCAGAGACCGCTGTTCATACGAGTGTCTTGGCGCATGGCTAATCATGGTCAAACCAATAGTCAGGTCACATAGTAGTCAAGAGCATGCTATAGAGGATTCAACTGGTGATACTGGGCATTCACCTTTGGATGACTCAGGTATCCAGACTGACACCTGGAACTCAGTTCAAGACAATTTCAGAACTGACAGCAGTTTGTCAAATGATGATTTGGAAGGGGCAGTTGGTTATTCACCAAATTCCAGGGCTGTGCCGGACTGGAGTAACATACGCACACAACGAAGACAGAGTTACTGGGAAGGTTACAGTGGACCAGTGGATGAAAATAGGTTTCATCCTCAGCGAAGACATTCCTCTGGTGAACTCTCTGGGAGCCCAAGATCATATGAAACTTACATTGGGCACAGCCATAGTAATCAGTTTGGCCCAGGAGAAAGTCAAGCCGGTACTCAGTTTATGCCACGAGAAAGAAGAGCCAATAATCATTTTAGACCACAGGAAAGACGAGGCAGTAATCAGTCTGGTTATGGAATGACTGAAACATACAACACATGGAGCCCTCCAGAAATACTTACTCACAATCATAATCATTTTACAACTCAGTATATCTACCCTCCTGGAATACCACGTGAAACTGTGATTTTTGGTGCTCAACTGTATACACAATTTCTTTATGATGAAATTCGGAGGCGTAATCTTCAGGCACCAGAATGCCTTGATCCTAACCATGCGAACCCTCCCCCACTCTGGTAAGTATCCAGTCATAAGGAAGTGAAATGACTAAATATTTTTTAGTTAGTTGCAGTGTTCTTTTTGCCCATTTTGAGTTCAACAGTGTTTGATGTTTATATATCTTAGCCCTTATTGTCCAGGAATAGGGAATTTTAAATCCCATGGGTCTGTTGGTTGATTGCCAAATTTTAATTCAGGGTAGCAGTTTATTGTCCACAAATAAGAGATGTAGAGTTCCTCATTGCCATGATGCTGGTGGCTGGATGTTAATTCAGTTTTGTACTTTGTTTTTTTATGCTGTCAGTAACTGATCTACTGGGTGATAATATGGATACCATAAAGAAAAATACACAAACTTTAATTGACACTAGTAAGGAGGTTGGTGTAGAAGTAAACACAGAGAAAACTTGTCACCAAAATGCAGGGCAAAATCATAACATGAAGATAGGAAAGAAATGTTTTGAAAAAGTGGCACAGTTCAGATATTTGGAAATGACGATAACAGATCGAAACCTGATTCAGGAGGAAATTAAGAGGAGATTGAACTCGGGTAATGCTTGCTACCATTCAGTCCAGAACCTTTTTGTGTTCTCGTCTGGTGTCCAAAAACATAAAAATTAGAATATACAAAACTACAATTTTGCCTGTGGTTCTGTATGGGTGTCAAACATGGTCTCTGACATTAAAGGAGGAACGCAGACTGAAGGTGTATGAGAACAGGGTGTTGAGGAGAATATTTGGACCGAAGAGTGATGAAGTGACAAGAGGTTGGAGAAAACTGCACAGTGAGGAGCTTCATAATGTGTACTCTTTTCCAAGTATAATTAGAATGATCAAGTCAAGGAGGATGAAGTGGGCAGGGCATGTAGCACGAATGAGTGAGACGAGGAATGCGTATAGGATATTGGTGGGAAAGCCAGAAGGAAAGAACCACTGGGAAGACCAAGGCATAGATGGGTGGATAATATTAAGATGGATCTTAGAGAGGTAGGATAGGATGGTATTGATTGGATAGATCTGGCTCAGGATAGGGACCAGTGGAGGGCTTTTGTGAACATGGTAATGAACCTTTGGGTTCCATAAAATGGTGGGAAATTCTTGAGTAGCTGCAGAATTGGCCACTCCTCAAGAAGGGCTCAGCTCCATGAGTAAGTAAGTCAGTAACTGTGAATATATAGTGTTGAATGATCAGATGAAGGTGAATAATGCATTGGAAAGGGTATTGAAGGTATTGAATTTGTAATATGTGACTTATTTTATATGTATACCTAAGGGGAAAAGATTGGATTGATGAAATGAAAATAAATGTAATATAATGAAATGTAAGTAATCGCGGTCCTTAATTTAAGAACTGGATGACATGAACCACACTTATGCGCTCAAGAGTACTTGCCCTAGAACTGTCACATCTGAAAAGATGGACTCATTAATCAACAATGAGAAGAAAGAAATGCCTTTTCACATGATGCATTTCCTGGCTGTTTGAGGGCTGCTTGAAGAAAGTATTGCAGATTTTTCTGTGCATCTGCATTTACCACCATTAGCCATGACATTTTTAGCGGGGGTTGGCAGTCAAAGGGTTAAGATACTGTTCCCACAGTTGCCTAGAGGGACTGAGGAAAACAACTTCCGTCAGCTTAGTATTTCCCAGCCCAGATTAACACGGGTCTAAATTTCTTGAAGTTCATAGCTAAACATTTCATGATATTTAATTAAGCCATTGAATGGTTGACTGTTTTGACCTCAGCATTTACACTGTCCAGTGTCTCTTGAAGAGTTCTTTCTTCTGGGCAGTAATGCCATGTAATCCAGTGAAAGTCAAATCTGCTTGTTACCTTCTTCATGCTGCTTTCTTGCTTAATTTTTTTTTAATTCGCATAATGGGGGTGAAGTCCAGTTGGGTCCACTCAGCACATCGGCCACTAATTGGCCTACTGTACCTGCCCCAGGTGATTATGATGATGGAGAATCTGGTGGAATGAAGATTGGCAGGGGAAATCGAAGTACTCGGGGCAAACCTGCTCCAGCACCACTTTGTCCACCACAAATCCAAATTGACCAGACCTGGGACCAAACCAAGGCCACCGCGCTGGGAAGTCAGTGACTAACAGCTTGAGCTATGGTGCGGCCTTGCTTTCTTGCATGGTTTATTCTTCGACCCTGAAGATGGAGATGTCATGTTCCTCTGATACATTAGTTGACTTTCAACATGCTACATGTTATTATATTCTAGAACTCTTCATAATAACCATTATGAGAGCCACAAATCCTATAAAAAGATATAGCCATCCCTGTAATATGGCCACGGAGGCCCATAGGGTTGGGAAACATCAAGACTTCCACATTTTCTGAACACTCAGCTTACAGATGGCGGTGAGGTTGTCAGCCTTACACACCAACCGCCCTTTACCCCCAGGAAGATTCCTGGTACTCATTTCTGTTAGAGGTTGAGTCTACCCCAGGGCCATAGTGTGGCTGGAAGGATTAGGTGAATTGAAAAATCCAATGACCTCATCAGGAATCAGGCCTGTGACCTCCTTGCTTGTAGCATAGTGCCTCAATGAACTACACCACCGCATGTCCTCCACATATCCTGTGCAGTGTCTTTTAAGTCTGTTGAACTCGTCTTAATGTTGGGTACCATTTCAGGATTTGTTCTGGGAATTGACAATCTTCCATTCTGATGAATTTGTTATAATCATTTGTTTCTGTATGCATGGGGTGTTTTGTCTGCAGTATTTACAAATTCAAGTGTACAGAACTTACTTACTTACTTGCTCATGGAGCTGAGCCCTTCTGGAGGAGCCGCCAATTCTGCAGCTACTCAAGAATTTCCCAGCATTTTATGGAATCCAAAGGTTCATTACCGTGTTCACAAGAGCCCTCCACTGGTCCCTGTCCTGAGCCAGATCAATCCAATCAATACCATCCCATCCTATCTCTCCAAGATCCATTTTAATATTGTCCACCCACCTACACCTTGGTCTTCCCAGTGGTCTCTTTCCTTCTGGCTTTCCCACCAATATCCTATACGCATTCCTCGTCTCCCCCATTCATGCTGCATGCCCTGCCCACCTCACCCTGTTTGACTTGCTCATCTAATTATACTTGGAGAAGAGTACAAGTTATGAAGCTCTTCATCATGCAGTTTTCTCCAACCTCCTGTCACTTCATCTCTCTTCGGTCCAAATATTCTCCTCAACACCCTGTTCTCAGACACCCTCAGTCTGTCTTCCTCCCATAATGTCAGAGACCAAGTTTCATACCCATACAGAACCACAGGCAAAATTGTAGTTTTGTATATTCTAATTTTTATGTTTTTGCACAGCAGACCAGAAGACAAAAGGTTCTAGATTGAATGGTAGCAAGCATTACCCGAGTTCAATCTCCTCTTAATTTCCTCCTGAATCAGGTTTTGATCTGTTATTGTTGTTCTCAAATATCTGAATTGTGCCACATTTTCAAAACACCTGTTTCATATCTTTATATCATGATTTTGCCCTGCATTTTGGTGATGAAATGGCAACATATACTTAGTTTTCTCAGTGTTTATTTCTAGACAAACTTCTTTACTTGTGTCGGTTAAAGTTTGTGTATTTTTCTTTATGGTATCTACATTATCACCCAGTAGATTCACATCATCGGCATAGGCCAACAGTTGATGTGTCCTGTTTAATTTCAGTCCCACCTGGTTTCCCTGAACCTTCCTAGTGGCAAATTCTGAAGCAAAGTTGGAAAGGAGTGGCGATCAAGCATCTCCCTGATTTAGACCACTCCAGATAGGAAATTTATCAGACAAATGTTTACCTACACGGACTTTACTATATGATTCATTTAAACACATTTTAATCAACCTAACTAGTTTTATTTGTATCCCAAACTCTATCAGAATATTGTACAATACTTCCCTCTTAACCAAATCGTAGGCTTTCTTGAAGTCTATGAATAGCTGATGTACTGTCTTATCATACTCCAATTTTTTCTCCAATATCTGATGAAAGCAAAAGATCTGATCTGTAGTTGATCTGTTATGTCAAAACCCACGCTGATGATCCCCAATAATTTCATCTATATATGGACTTAACCTTAAGAGAAGAATGTTGAATAAAATTTTGTATGAAGTTGATAGCAGTGATCATCATTAGTAATCTGTCAGACGACAGGTCCACAGTCTCTTCCAAAACAGTTCCTCCACTTAATGCGATCTAGAGCTTTCTCCTTCAAATGACAGTATCCTCTTCTGTCCCCAAGGTCATCCAGCATCTTCTTACATGTTCTTCCTCGTCTTCTTGTCACTTCTATCCGCCCCTCTATCTTTCCTTCAATAACTTCTTTTAGAAGGCAGTTTCTGCGTAAAACATGACCAATCCAATTAGCCTTCCGTTTTCTTATTTCGTGTAGGATATTCCTCTGCTCACTGACTCTAATTAACACTTCTTCATTTCTCACATAATCAGTCCAACTGATCTTGTCCATGTTTCAGCCCCATACAGAGTTATGCTCCAAATGTAGCATTTCACTAGTTTCTTCCTCAAATTTAAGTCCAAGTTGCTGGTAAAAAGATCCTTCTTCTTGCTAAATGCAGCTTTTGCCATGGCAATCCTGGATTTAATTTCACTAGTACACCTTCCATCATCTGTTAACAAGCTACCCAAATATTTAAAACATTTCACATTCTCCACTTGTTTTTGGTCTATCTTTATTGTGACTGGGGTTGGTTGTCTCGAAATTTTCATTACTTTTGTTTTCTCCACATTCATTTCCATGCCATAGCACCTTCCAATTTCAATTAGTCTATCAATCATGCCCTGTAGCACAGTTTCTTCCTTAGCCATTAACACAAGGTCATCTGCATATTTCACAGTTTGAATAATTTGCCCTCCTAATTTGAAGTCTCCAAGCCCTTCCAGAGCTTCGTTGGTAAGGCATTCACTGTACAAGTTGAACAGAATTGGTGATAAACAGCATCCTTGTCGAACTCCTCTTCCAATCTGCACACTTCTTCTCTCCCCTCTGTCCAGTCGTAGCAGTGATATCCCCCAATAATTACTACAATCAGTTTTATCACCCTTCTTGTGAACTGGTACAATAATAGACTCCTTCCATTGATCAGGCAATTTTTCCTTATGCCAAATAGAAGTAATTAGATTGTGGATCTTAGAATGTAATATTTCACCTCCTGCTTGAATAAGTTCTGGAATTTGATCACTACCTGGCGATTTATACTGTTTCAATTTTGCAATAGCACTTTCAACCTCAAAAGGACTAGGATCAGGTACTAACAGCTCAGCTGTATGAATTTTTGTCTGCCTAACATCACTGACCCTATATACATTCAATAATAGAGAAGTAGTTCTTCCAACTATTGAAAATGTTGTGGGAGTCTGCAAGCCAATCGCCATTCTCAGCCTTCACTAAGTTACTTCTAGGTTATCAGCCCCTCTTAAAGTCGTTTATTCCTCTATATGGGTCTCTGGTGTTCTTGTTCTTACTGTTCGTTGCAAGCTCATCAATTTTGTCTTTCAGATATTCCCTCTTTTTGTTCCTGAAATGCGTGCTGGTTTCACATCTTATATTGTTCAGATTATCCCCGTTTTAACTCGCTTGGATCCTGTAACCATTGCAAGTTGGCCTGCTTTTTTTTGATCTAATAATTTTGATCATCCTTCCTCGAACCATGGCTTATGCTTCTTCGGTTCATAATAACCTAGACTCTGATTTGTTTCATTCTGGTCCGTCACACTAACAAATAACAAAGACAAAACAACTCCGTCCAGTGTGACTATTGGAGTTCTTTTACTACTTGAAAACTCAACGCCCTTACATGTTTCGGTCCTTATAGACCATCATCAGAGGGAACATCAATACTTTTTGGAAACTGCTGTCACAGTGGGTGTTCTGAGTGCTAAAATACATACACACACAATGCCTGCAATGCACAGTATGCAATGCCCCCAACAAGAAAGACGATAGGAGAAGGGTCACGAACCTACTTGGTTTATAAATTTTAACTTAACAAAGTTTTAAAAACTTTAATATACCAGGAAAGCTGCTGTGGTTGTGGAAAAGTTGGATTTTGTGTATACTGTGCATTGCAGACATTGTGTGTGTATGTATTTTAGCACTCAGAACACCCGTTGTGATAGTAGTATCCAAAAAAGTATCGATGTTCCCTCTTATAATGGTCTATAAGGACTGAAACATGTAAGGGCGTTGAGTTTTCAAGTAGTAAAAAACTCCAATAGTCACACTGGAAGGAGTTGCTTTGTCTTTGTCTTTGTCTTTGCCAGTCTTTCCCTAATCTTTGCCACCACCAGGTAGTGGTCAGTATCACAGTCTGCTGCCCTGAATGATCGGACATCAAGTAGACTTGAGTGCCGTCTCCTATCTATCAAAATATGGTCTATTTGATTGTGTATCTTCCCATCAGGAAATGTCCAAGTAAATTTATGGATGTTACGACATGGGAACATTGTACTTTTGACAGTAAGATTTTTTGATGTGGCAGAGTTTACTACTCTAACTCCATTATTGTTACTAATTTCATGCAAACTCTCTTTCCCAATCGTTGGTTTGAAAATGTCTTCCCTCCCTACTTTGGCATTGGAATCTCCTAACAAAATTTTCATGGGGTACTTCAGGAATTCATCAAATACATGTTCTAGTTGTTCATAGAATCTGTCCTTTATGTCATCAGTTTTATCTTCTGTTGGTGTGTGAACATTCATAACAATGATATCACACCAGCGACCAATATTATAGTATTATATGATATCCTATCACTAATGAACTCTACCCTCTTAACTGCTGATACAATTCTCTTATGTACGAAAAACCTGTACCTAATTCATGATTTTAATTCCCCTTTCCATAGAAAAATGTATAGTCTCCTGCTGGTGCGATGCCACCTCCATCCCATCTGACCTCCTGTACTCCCACTAAATCTAACTTATATTTTAAGATTTCTTCTGCCACTGCCCTGGGCAAACCTGCCCTATACAAACTTTGAACATTCCAAGTGCCAAATCTCATATCCATTTTCTTTAGCTTAGGTCGTTTATCCAAGGAATCCGTCCAGGTCTGAGGCTTTGTGTTCATTTTCATAACATAATTGTTTTTTACGATGAGGGGTTGTTAGCCCCACGCCCAACTCCCAAGCTGGAGGGCCACCCCTTGTTGGCTGTCCACGACTCCTTATTCAGTATATTTGCAGCTTCCCTCCGAAACTGGAGGGCGTCTCCTCCATCCGCAACCTGAGGATACACCATGCCGTGGTGACAAGGGACCCACCTAACATGGAAGTGTACAGAACTATAAGGTTTAGTTTGGACTCTGTCCATCGTCTGGTATATATAAGACAAGAAACCACAACATTTCAGAAACTGGATCTGTCTCCATCCTCAGGTGGATGCTGCAAGATAGACCTACTCAGTTGGGCCCATTAGAAAGAGCTAGTCCCAATCACTCAGTTCAAGTGTGTTTCAGACACAAGTTTTGAAACTGACAGATAATTATTTTTATGCATGATAGTTGGAAAAAAATTGTCAGAGCTTGAAAGTGAAAAGTACTTACTGAATTGAAATTAGCAATGACTAATAAATAACTGCGTATTATCTGTTTTCACCTTCCTGTTTGATTGTGGTAATTGAGGAGATTTAGCATAGAGATTGATTATAAACATACCAGTAAATTTTATACAAAAGATACATTTTGTATGTTAAAAATTATAAATATGTGCGACTCTTTTAGGTTATATTTGACAATATTCAAATAGTGAAGTGGATATCAGCAAGAACTGTGAACACACACAAATTCTAATTATGTATGGAATCATTTGTTGGAAACTACATCATAAGTGTACTTTCTGCTTCATTTCTTCATACTAGCTCATGTTATAATATATGGCAGGATCATAAAATAATTAAATTCGTTTGTATTATCTTATTTGCGGAACAGAAACGTTATTTAAGTTGTGAGAATGAAAAAGGGCCAGGTTCAAAACTCTGAGGAAATGCATGAAATAAGCCATATGTTCATAAATAAGTATAAATTGTTTATCATTTACATCTTTATTTTTATTGTCATTTGCTTACAATTAATGTTGTGGTTCAAAATTTGAACTGGTGTGGCCATATTTTAGATCTGCCTAGAAGTATGTGTTTTCCCTATTCATTGTTACAGATGTTTGTGATGGAATATTCACTGTTAATCTTACTGCAATTCACAGTTAAACTGGCCTTTATTTGGAGTTATACTTAACAAATTCTGATACTGCAGAAGGTTAATAAGTTACCTATTTCTTAGAGAAAATGTATTGTAATTTTGTTTTTAAAAGTAATGTAATATTCTCTAACTTCTCTTTCATTCAAGGAATAATGACATAATTCATATCGGTAACAGTCTTCGCCAAGTAGCAAATGAATTTGCTCATTCAGTGCTTCGTCGCAGAGTTCAAGAAAGAGCCGAGTCTGTCTGCCTGGAAAGTCTCAACTTTAATACCTTCTCTGATCTCCTGTTTGGATTGTTTCAGGTACTGTGCATTACCATTACAATGGGTGTTCTGAATGTTAAAATATATACACATACAATGTTTGTAATGCACAATATATACAAAATCCAAAGTTTTCACAACTACAGCGTTTGTCTTGGTATATATTTTTTTCTAAAGTTTTTTAAAAACTTTTGTTATTTAAGTTAAAATTTATAAAACGGCGCAGCACGCCACGAACAAACACAGGACGATAGCAAAGAACCTCCTCAAGAAAGACAAGCAGCACAAGTTCGGCCCCCATCAAGAAAGGCGATAATAGAAGGGACACGAACCTATTTGGTTTATAAATTTTAACTTAAATAACAAAATTTTTAAAAAACTTTAATATACCAAGACAAATGCTGTAGTTGTGAAAACTTTGGATTTTATATATATTGTGCATTACAAACAATGTATGTGTATATATTTTAACATTCAGAACACCCATTGTAATGGTAATGCACAGTACCTGAAACAATCCAAACAGGAGATCAGAGAAGGTATTAAAGTTGAGACTTTCCAGGCAGACAGACTCGGCTCTTTCTTGAACTCTGCGACGAAGCACTGAATGAGCAAATTCATTTGCTACTTGGCGAAGACTGTTACCGATATGAANTTAATTTATTCTATTTTGTGTTTCTTTTCCCATTGTGCATTTTATTTTTGGATGTACATAAAATAAAACAAATGTTATGTAGACTGTCTCCATTATACACATATGTCCTATATTATAAATGATCTTAAATAAATTGATCTGGATTCAGTATGCTCAGGACAGGGTGAAAAGAATTTCTTCTCCAGCTGATGTATCATCTTCATAAGAGGGAGCCAGTATCATAGAATTGGATATAATGGATTGGAGAGTATAAGGTAAAGTTGTCCCTGTGCATAATTAGTTAAGTACTTTGCCATGAAGATGTAGGAGGGGGTAGAGTCATAGCTTCACCTTTCTTGACCTCAGCATGAGATGGAGGTGAGTGGTCAGTTTCCTGCCCCTGCTGCTTTACCCCTAGGGGAAGAGCCCCCAGTACCCATTGGATAAGAGGCTGGGTGGGTCCCAGAGTAGATCTGGATGCTGTGGAGATCAGAAAAATCTTGCACTGTTAGGAATCAAACCTGGGCCATCCAGCATGTAGTCTGTTGGTGTATTGACAGCTAATTCAACTTTCTGCATTGGAGAGTTCATTTTGTTGTTATTATGAGTATTTCTGATAGTTATTATGGGGCTTGTTCAAATGAAACCTATGTGGGGATTGTTCTGAGCAAAGGAGTGAAGTCCATTGAAATAGTCCCAATGAGTGTTGAGGCACATATTCCATTGACAAATGAGTTAATGGATCCACCATGTAAGCAATGCTCTTCGGGAACAATGGTGCCATTGATGTGGTTGTGCAACTGAGCCTCTGGCCTTTGAACTATAGGATCCTATACCTTGATGTCACCATTACTGCACTGAAATGTTGTGGAATCCTCTGAGACCTTTGTGTCACTATCAAGAGAAATCATCCAGGACATGAATGCATGCCATGCACTGGAAGATGATGGACCATTCCCATACAGCCTGGACCTCTTGCCCTATGATGTCCTGTGTTCAGTTCCATTGGGTAAACATTGACTCAAGTTGGAAGAGGAAGGTTTTAAGGCATGGTCAAGTGGTTCCAGCAGAGGCCCAAGGAGTTCATTGTGGGCGGCTTGTGCCTCAGTGGTATTTTCTTCCTCAGTGCCTCTGGGGTCAGTTACCAACGTTGTCTGTTCAAGCACATTTGCAGTCGTACAGAGTGCCTATTAAATATGCCCAGGCCACTCATGTCTGTACTCATGAAACAACTTGAGAAACACTGAGAATTTTCATGACATTTTGTATTGAGGAGTTTTAATCAAATGTGTTGATGACATTCAGATTTTTTTTTGGGGGGGGGGAATCTGAGGGAATGAACTGACAGTTTACTTGATGGTGTATATGTGTTTCTGTATGTATCTTAAGCATAATGTGCTAGATATCTGTTGGAACATAAAGTATTTTAAACTAAAGTTATAGAGAAAAATGAAACATGTTTTATACCCAATACACCTTTTCTGTAAGTGCTGTGGATTTTGATATGAAAGAGGACTGTTTCACCATCCATACATTTTCAAGTTTATATATTCGGAACTCAGCAGTGGTTTTCTGAACACATGCAAAGAGTACAGCAGTCTGTTAGTTTCAGTAGTAATTAAATGAAGCTTCCTTCCACCTAAATTTATAGTTTAACGTAGATGGCCAGAGCATTTCTAGGCAAGAACCTGTAAACAACCTTCAGTTGAGTGCTTTACGACAATAAGACAAATGTCTATAGCTTTTTGCTAGGCGACAGTGCACCAATGGATTGACGAGATATCACGTGACATGTTTTCTGTGCAGTCTGCATCATCAGTAATAGAACTGTGTTTCCTGTACGGTCTGTGCTGCGGCTGTATAATGAGAGCTGTGGGCCATAAGTTCAGATCGAATTGGAACTAGAAGTGACAGTGAGTGTGACAGTCCTGAGTTCTGAGTATGTTGTAGAAGAGAGAAATAGTAGCAGCGGAAGCACACAAATGGAGTGAAGTGGAGCCAGAAATACAGAACAATAAGGAAGGTCAGCCTGTGAGGATTCAATGTGTGATATGAAGACTTGTCTGTGTGTAATACTTGGAGTGTGTAATCCAGTGAGATTGATAGTTGCTGTCTTGAGATCCATTGCCAGGAGATGACTAGTGAAGACTGGGAATCCTAGTGCTTGTGCAACAGTGAACTGGAAAGTGTGTAAATTAGCTATAAAGCTGTATTGTCTGTAGTAAATGTGATTAAGAGAACCTGTAACCAAAGTGCTAATAAATCCAATCATCTGAACTAGAACCCATTAATTCCGTCATGTTGCCAAAGCCTTAAATTTTCTGCTAAATTGTTGTACAGAATATTAATATTAAGAAAAAATGAAATAGATTCTTGTTTGTTTATTATTTGTATGATTACAGCGTTAATGTGCTTGCTGTTTAAAAAGCAAGGAGAGACGTTTCAGATACTTGCATTTGTCAGTGTTTTTGCTTGAAATCATTTTTATGGTATTTATGAACATCAAAAGTTGACATTCAAGGTTTGAATATCTATAGGCAATAACAGAGCAAGCTTGGTAGAGCAGTACAACACATGCAGTCACAAGGGAAGGACACAACACAGGACACAATATACACAAGAATATAGGAAGAGTACTCCCATAGGAGAGGATTGACGTAACTCACGTATTTGAAGTATAGATGATAAATCTTGAAAAGTTTTAATATATAAATTTTATTATTATACATCACATATTTACATTTTAATCATTTTATAAAGGAGACATGATGGCATACAGTGCAATGGTTTGACGTAAACAAAACCACACCTGAAGATGGCACATTAGTGCCGAAACATGTAGTGACGAGAAAGGTGAAATTGTGTGCACTATAAGACGGTTGGTACAAATACACATCATGAACGTGAATCAGTGCAACAGGATGGTAAAATATAACATTGGTAGAACTGTTATGCTCTGGGTACACTTTCCTGTTTGTTTAATTTTTGTATGTAGAACATAAAACTTGGAGCACTGCTTAGTATGGAATGTGCGCTATAGTTTAATTTTCTTTAGTTAGTGTCATAATTATTTTGTTGCAGGAAGGCGGGGTCACATCAGAGAGAGTGGTTGTCCTGTTTTTCTTTTGTTCTGACCTTGCTATCAGAGCTCTTTGCAACAGAATGAGAGAAAGGTTTCATTTCATAACGTACTGGAGCCAGCGATATATAATGGAGAATTTCAGTATATGGGTTCAGGAACATGGAGGATGGGTATGGTACACATTTCTTCTAATGTTTATTAGCACTCACCAAAGACTTTCTCACATGACTGTTGTGTAAGAAAGTTTCTTAACACTGTAAATATAGACCTCACAGATAAAGAGACATTGTGCACTCAGAAAAGTATTCCATTTTTTTTTTTTGAAAAACTCAAGAACATTGGTGATTCCACTCTGTTGAGTGATGTGCAGAGAGGTGTAGCAGTTTAGTCTGTTGCCTGACTGTGTGCAGAGCAAATCATCCTGTAATGGTTGTGCTGTGCTTTCAGATAGCATTATCGCAAACGTCGCACTTTACTTCTCTTAATGATCTAAAACCAAAGAGCAGCATGTCATTTATAATTTTATGAAACTCTAAAAATCGGTGAACATTTGTGTTCCTTTTTTGATTCTCATAAAATAGTGACCAAAGCTTGGAAAGAGCCACTGTGTCCTATAGTGAAGGAAGGGAAAGGCATTAATGAAGGAGCTTTAGCCACATGTACATCTCCTGGAGAGTGCAGGTATAGGAATTATGCAAAATTTGAGGTGAACACAGCTTTCTTATTTCAGACTTCAGATTTCACAGGTCCCAGTAACCTTAAAGTTTACCTCCCAGCAACAAAGCACTTCTTAATGTTTACAAATGGCTTCCTTCCTAGAATGAAACATGCTTAGTCTGTGGCTGTCAGTTTATTGTAAAACATTTGGTGCTGGTGTTATATCATGACTAAATATGGGTGGGTCACAGAAACTTCCTTTTTTTTGAAGGCGAATAAAAGAAAAATTATTGCTGATAGACAAAATTTGTGTTTAGCTAATGAAAGAACATACTTTAAAGTTTTAAATCATGTAGTTTTAAACAAAATATCTTGAAGGTGGTGGCCACTGTTCCATATGCACTGATGCAACCGTTTTCTGAAGTTCCCCTCTGGACGTTCCAACATGTGCACTGGAATTTGGGCTACTTCCTGCCAAATAACATCCTTCAGCTGAAGCAGGTTTGTGGGGTGATGTTTAAAAACCTCTGCCTTGAGGTATTCCCATAAAAAAATCACAAGGCGTTAGATCAGGTGAGTGCGCTGCCCACGGGATGTCACCTCAAAGCGAGATGAACTTTGCCCTCAAAACTCATCGAAGCTCGGGCTGTGTGGGCCATGGCACCATCCTATTGGAACCAGACATTTCCTAGATGCATTTCTTCAAGAGCTGGTTCGAAAAAGTTTTTAATCATGTCCACATACCACTGTGAATTGACAATAACTGCATGATTGTCTTCTTCAAATAAATAAGGGCCAATAACTCCAACTCTCGAGAACGCACACCATACTGTCACCTTATCTCTGTGAAGTGGCCTCTCATGGAGCTCTCTGGGATTGTTACAACTCCAATAGCGCATATTCTGCTTGTTGACATATCCGGATAGGTGAAAATGTGCCTCATCACTAAAGAAAACAAGTGCGTCAGGGGGTAAACTTTCCAATAACATTTCGCACGCTGTTATTTGGTTCTGGAAATCACGTGGTGACAATTCTTGCATAAGAACAGTCTTATAGGGATGGAAATGAAGATGTTCGTGAAGAATTTGGAGCATTGAACGATTGGATATGTCTAGAGCGACTGCATGTTTGGGAGCGGAGCGTCTTGGAGATCTCAAAATCTACTGTTGAACTGCCTCCACATTTTCTGGCATCGTAATGGTCCGTTGTGATCCTGATGATTTTTTCACCACATTCCTGGTTGTCCTAAAGTTCTCTGCTCACAAAAGAATTGATTTCCAGTCGGGAGCCGGACCTCTGGGCTTAATTCAGAAGTGAGTACGGAATGCACGCTGAAATGGTTGTTCGAAAAATAGGCTTCGACAGCAAACGCCTGTTGCTCACTTGTCCACCTTATGTTTCCTGCTGAGGGGTATTAGACAGAAACTTCCACGCCTGCTGCGTTTGCCGAGCCTATCCCCACTTTTCTGCGACCTCCCCTCCCTTCACAAAAAGGAAGTTTCTGTACCCCACCCTGTACTTCCTTTAAAGTAAAGTAAAGCTATCCCTGTAACAGGCTGTGAAGGCCCATAGGGTTGTGAGACGTTGAGGGTCCCCCATTTTCTAGACAGTTGGCTCAAAGATGGCGGTAAGGTTGTCAGCCTTACGCGCTGGCTGCACTTTACTCCCCAGGAAAATTATTTAATTAATTCCTGGTACTCATTTCTGTTAGAGGCTGAGTCAACCCCAGGGCCATAGTGTGGCTGGAAGGATTAGGTCAATTACATTATTATAAAGTGAAGCTTGAAAGTGTAAGAGAGGGCTTTCTACACTTAGGATTCTTTCAGCATAAAATTTATAATGGTTACGGTCACCTGACTTGTACTTTGATAGATAGGTAGTACCATTCTGGAGGAATGTGCAGTCTCCATCTTTGGGGGTAGAAGAGAAAGCTGCATGGAAAACGGAAGTTTCACCTATATCTGATTTGCTGGAAGCTAAAGTGGTATAAGTCAGCATGGTATGGTTTTGATACACAAAGTTTTGTGCAATTCACCATTGAAATTTTCCACATTAATTTTTTTTTCTAGCAAGTTGTATTTTTCTGTATCTAACAGTGAAACTGTATTGTAGACATAAAAGATTTATGTACACAACTTCTGCTTTTAACAGTTCACTGTATCTTTCTTTTCCTGCATGCCTTACTCTTCCACCCTGGAGGTGGAGACAGCAAGTTCCATAGATCGTAATGTTCATATTCACTGCCAGAACAAACTCAAATCTATGATATGAGTAATTTATAGATTTAAATTTTGAGATAATATATTTTCACTGAAAACAGTATCCATTAAAATTATGATGGGAGTGTTTGCAGTTGGATTCTTTGTGTTCCAGAAGAGGGCTCATTGATCATTGGCACAACAGGACTTGTTTGACAGGTGTGGTGTAACAAATTGCAGCCAGTCATATAGGAAGAACTTGAAATGGGAATTGATGGTGAAGAATAACAAGGAATTCTAAAAATTAACAAGTCTATGACACTGCAAGATAAAATCTTAGTTTGATCTTGATAAACCCACAATAGAAAATAGTTTGTTTTGCCAGGCACTGCTTCACAACTAGAAGCTTTATATTATGACTTAGTTATTGGTTGTAACAAGTTACCATAGAAAGAATTTGAAATTGATGAATTTCTATTGTAGAAAGAAGTGGTTGTCTCGCTTTGTTTTAACATGAACCTTTCTAGATGCTGAAGAAGCAAACAGTTTATAGGAATAAGAAAGTTGTCATTACATACTCTTCTGTCCCTGAAGTGAAACTACTTCTTGGCACTCTGTAAGAGTAATTTAATGTTCTTGTGATTGATTCCTCAGGCTTTGTCTCTTCCGGTGTTTCTCAGTTGGTGGGACGTGAGGTATATATACATTCATTCATGCATCAGTAATCTGTCAAGACGACAGGTCCACAGTCTCTTCCAAAACAGTTCCTCCACTTGATGCGATCTAGAGCTTTCTCCTTCAAATGAAAATATCCTCTTCTGTCCCCAAGGTCATTCAGCATCTTCGTACGTCTTCTTCCTAGTCTTCTGGTCACTTCTATCCGCCCCTCTATCTTTCCTTCAGTAACTTCTTTTAGAAGGCAGTTTCTGTGTAAAACATGACCGTGGGATATATATATAAAAAATTTTCACGAATAGTTAATATAATAGAAAGTGTACATAATTGTAAAAGTACATTCCTTGGAAAGAAGGAATATTTGTTTTTAATGTAGTGGGACTATGGTTTTCTGACAAAATGACTGGTGGGATGCAAGATGCTAAAGATTGTGAATGACTGGTCTGCTTGACTTTCCTTCCTGGCCAGTGTCTGTCTTTTCAGTTGTGAATGAGTCCATTCCTGAGGTACTGGTACACATAAGTCAGACTCTGCAACCCAAAAACGTGCTTAACATGGGATTTGAACTACAATTTAAGCCTTGTAGTTGTATTCATAAGGTTTTGCAGTTTGTTAGAGGTGATAGAACAAAAATGCATGCAGAAAAACTGTACTGGATTCTGTCACTTTTGAACCTAAGACTTTGTTATAGAAGTCCAGCACATTGTCCATAGCTCACCAGATAGGAGTTAGTTATCATTGCCACATGAGTACCTAACTGTGTTCTGCATCATATGTATTTATTTGATATGTTGGGTTTTTGGACTTTATCCATCGTCCTGGTTTTTAAGATAACTAATAAAAACACACGACGTTTCAGAAACTGGATCTGTTTCCGTCCTCAGGTGAAGGAAAACACCTATTCTGTTGGGTCCGTTAGAAAGAGCTAGCCTCAATCACTGGACAAACCGATGTTTGTCATAAAATGGATAAAGTCCAAAAACCCAATATATCAGTGTGTTATACACCATCGTCAGAATCCTATAGTAACTACATGTATGGATTTCTTTACTATAGAAGTTGTAACCGTATGTCCGCATTTATTTGTTTAATTTTGACATTTGTATTGTCTCTTACAGGCCGCAGTTCTTCAGCAGTCGGTGAATCGTGTTTATCAGTGTGCCATGATAAGCTTTTTCTGTGTTGGAATAGTAGCATTTTTCATCTACATACGTAATAACACACGCTAGGAGCAGACTGCTTAGTTGTGATGTGTTGCTTGTATATATAGTATGTATCATGAGTAAACTTTGGTAGAATAAGTTTGGAGAAGTTTTTTCATCAGTTTTTACTTCCACATATTGTGTTCAAACATTTCTCAATTTGTATCTGTTTTAAAGAAGAGTATCTTCTTTTGTAAGGTTTTTGGCAAATTTGTGCCAGGTATTTTTGTACGAGTGAAGCCTAGTGAGAATTTTGTATTCAGATTTTTATATAGCAGTGTTTATGATGATAGTATATTTTATAGCATGCGTCTGTAATAACTTGTGGTGTGAACAAGGATTTAAATGCTTCTTTTTATTATAATGGATGTTCTGGCCACACATTTTTGAGATTCTTCAGAAATATAATTTTCAGATAGAAGTGGAAGGATTCTGGGGAAATCCAAGATTTATGTATTGAAACCTGTTAGTAAGAATTCAGTATTTTTGTAGTGTATCTAGTTAGTGTCAGTGTGTTTTTTTTTGTGCATTGTTTTTGAAGATGTACGAGCAAGCTAGTAACTCTAATTTTGTTCCTTTAAATATAGTTTTTAAAATTTATAATTGAGGTAATTCATGGAAAGTAATTCAGGCAGGAATGCATGTTGCAAGACCCATTATAATTCAACTTACTGACTGTTCTGGAACGAAAGGACTTTTGTGTAAACCCTGTGTGTAGTGAATGCATTATGGGAAGATGACATCTGTCCAGTCTCCTACCTTCAAAACCTTTTATATGGAAAGTACAAATCTAGTTTAATGTTTCTCACAAGTAGCCTGTTATACAAAAAACTGATAAGTAACATAAATAATATTGTCATTAAAGTTTGCAGTGGGTATTTGAAACATTTTTATATGGTGCATATTTAACTCTGTGCAACAGAGGTATGTAGTTTGAAATAATCAGCTGTAAATTAACATCAAGGTCAGTGTAGCATGCAGTATCACAAAGAAAACACACAGTTGGAAAATGTGATTTATTTCCTCTCTTGTTAAGGTCTTGTACCTGTTTGAACATTAAAAGTGGATCCTTGAACTAAAAATTGTAACTGATAATGTGTACTTTAGTCTTCCACAGTTCTCCTGCCCTACCTGTTTAGGATGTTAATTGAATCTGCAAGTATCTAACAGTTCAAATCCTTGACAAATTTACATTTCTAGTACCTCTTCCATTTGTTAACTGCCCAGTTGCATTCATTTGATTTTGTTGTTGGAGTTGAAAGGTTATTAAAAGATATCCTATTTTACCTCCTAGAACATTTCACCAGTTTTTATTATAAATATTTGCACAGATCATTGTTTAAGAACGTGTATCTGTCATAATGTGTCCTATTTTCTTTTTCTTAACACACATAGTATAACTTATACATCCTAGAAGTGGTTTATTCTGCTTAATGTACTTGTCCCTACTTCTTTTGCAGTTGGAACTTTTGACATCATGGATGTTGGTCTAAGCTTCCTTGAAGTCGGTTATTTTTCAGATTTACCTCAGAATTTATCAGCAACACATTTGTGTTTGAAACTTCATATTTCAACTGCCATTTTCTGTCTATATGTATATAAAAAGTGTTGTTCTGAATAAAGAGAGTTCAGCATAGTTTTGTATTTTGAATGTGTACTATAATGTATGACAACTGCAGAGTAATAGTGGGAAGGTACTCAAAATCTGCAGTACACATTTTCCCAATGCATTCTTTGCATTATTGTATGCCTCATTGGTCTTGATCATTTGTTGAACATGAAATATCTCATTTTATGTTCATTTGATTCACTCTATGCAGAGGATACACAGAAAGTTAATAATCCTCAGATCAGAATGTACTGTCTGTAGAATTTGCCCAAGCAGCAGAGGAACTAAATTATTCATTCGGATTTAAATAAAAGCGATCTGAGGTTGTCTAGGAGCATGAAAGAGGAGAACAAACATACTGATTATTCTGATGTGGAAACCTATAGTTGATTAGATGGAAAACCATGGTATAAGCAAGAGTACTTGTCAGAGATGATTATGAGGAAAAGAGTTATGGTTATGAGAATTTTAGATTGTTTCATTATGCAAATTTAACTGAACTAGCTTGGTGTACACTCCATTGGTAGGTTGTTGTGATGGTTATCTAAATTCCGTGATATTGAGGAGTATATTGTAATAATGGTGATTAGTGTGATCAGAATATTTGTGTGCTTCTTTAAATCCACTGTTATGAATTCTCTGATATACCAGTTCTGATAAATTGAATGTAAATTATATATAATATTGTATTTTGGCGTCTGTTGCATTGATCTATCACTCTTCACATTAACTTCCATCTTTACTGCAACTCTGTTCACAATCTATCTTTAATTTAAAGCAACATTGAAATCACAATCAACTGCACATGTTTCGGTGTTGCTTGGTCATCCTCAGGCAACTGTTCACTTTTCAAAACCTTCACGCGAAAATCCATTTGTTTGAGAACATAACTCTTCATCCTTTCCCTCACCATCTTTTTTTTTTTTGGCAGCATCAATGTTTTTGTGGTGTTTAATTTAGCCCCATCAACGTCAGCATGTTGTTGTTATCATTATTATTTTTATGTGCCCCCTTAGTATGTATTTTCCCACTGGTTGAGTGTGTGACATACACTTGATTAGTGGGAACATACATACTAAGGGGGCACATAAAAATAGAGATTGTGAACAGAGTTGCATTAAAGATGGAAGTAAAAATGTTATTTGCAAAAGAAGTTGTATATGTGGTAAATAAAGAAGATTTTTCCTGTTATGTGCTAAAGAGTTCAGTCTTGTTAATTTAAGTGAAATGTCAAGAAATAATGTCCAGTGCCAAATATGAGTGTGTAAAAGTTCATAATGCACAGTTCCAATGGACCACAAAATATTAACTCAGTAGACTGATGGCCTTTCACAGGGGTATACAGTCATTGTGCTAACTGCTGTTGATTGGCTGTCACCTGTAGATCTGTGTCTGTCCCTAGGTCCTCAGCCAGTTTAGTCTAGTTCTCATCTTCACAGCCTATTTTATTTTAAGATCCATTTTCTTATCCTTCCGTTTGCACTGAAGTCTCTCTCTTACATTCAGGTTTTCCCAACTAACAATTTGTAGGCATTTATAATCTTCCCCATGCATTCTAATTGTTTTCCCAATCTCACTATCCTCACTGTGCTCATTCTGGTAGTGTATAGTGAGGACTACAAGTTATGAGGCTGCTTATTATTTGTTTTCTCCAGTCTGTTACTTTCTCTTAATTCCAAATGTTGCGAATGACCCTCAGTCTGTGGTCTTCCCTTAGGGATTCCACCCACATAAGATAACATGTAAATTTACTTTTTTATGTATTTTAATTTTGATGTTATTAGGGAGAGATGGGAAGACAGGAGATTCTAAAGTGAGTGGTGGTAAATGATGCCCAAATTTAATTTACTCGTATTTCATCATGCAGGTAATTTTTTGACTCTGACCACAACTTGCTGGTTGCCAAGTTCCGAACCAGGTTGAAGAAAATTATAGGATTTCGAAAGCGCAGACCCAGATGGGATTTGGAGAAGTTATATGCTCAAAGACAAAGCGTGCAAGAGACTCTAGAAGAGAAACTCGGTGCAATTGAAGGTGAAAGCGGAAATGCTGAAGCGCAGTGGAACGATATAAAAGAATGCATGTTAGATACTATCAGTGATTTGGTAGGTAAAGTTGAGAAGATAGCAAGAAAACCATGGGTTACACAGGAGATGATGAGTAAAATGGAGGAGCGAAGGAAATGGAAGAATGTCAACAATGAAGAAGGCAGGAGGAAATACAGGAGACTGAGGAATGAATTGAAAAGAGCCACGGACAGGGCCAAAAAGGAATATCTTGAGAAGATATGTAATGAGATTATGGAATTTCAAAGAACAGGCCGTTATGATTTGATGTACATGAAGACAAAAGAACTAGGATGGAAAGAGAATCATGGGATTCAAAATGTTGGCATCGAAGACTCCCAGGGGAATAGAATAGTAGATCAGAGGCAAGTGCTGAAAATTTGGGAAAATTATATTTCAGAACTATATGATCGACCTAATCGGCCAGAAACCTTAGAAGTTGAACCGGAAGAAGAAGTAGATACAGACGAGAAAGGACCATATATTTTACAAAGTGAGGTGGAAAAAGCTATCAAGGAAATGAGGAAGGGAAAGGCTACAGGAGATGATGATGTACCTGGAGATGTGCTCAAGTTACTGGGAGAAGGTGGTTTGAAAACACTGACAAAACTAATGAACACCATATATGAAAGTGGAGAGTGGCCCAAGGACTTTACAGAAGTTACAATGATTGCCTTAAAGAAAAAGACAAAAGCTACAAAATGCAGCGACCATCGCACAATAAGTCTTATTGCACATACAGCAAAGATAATAGCAAAGATACTTAAAAGAAGAATTGAAAGGAAAATAGAGGATGTACTTGGAGAAGATCAGTTTGGATTTAGAAGAGGAAAAGGAACCAGGGATGCAATTGGGATGATGAGAATTATAGCGGAACGAACTTTGGAGATAGATGAAGAACTGTGTGTTTGCTTCATAGACTGGCAGAAGGCATTTGACCGGGTAAACTGGACCAAATTAATGCAGATCCTGAAAGAAACAGGTATCGATTGGCATGAAAGAAGATTGATTAGCAAATTGTACATGGATCAGAAAGTTAGAGTACGACTGGACAGGGGGGAGACAGGAAGTGTGCAGATTGGAAGAGGAGTTCGACAAGGATGCTGTTTATCACCAATTCTGTTCAACTTGTACAGCGAATGCCTTACCAAGGAAGCTCTGGATGGGCTCGGTGACTTCAAAGTAGGAGGGCAAATTATTCAAACTGTGAAATATGCAGATGACCTTGTGTTAATGGCTAAGGAAGAAACTGTGCTACAGGGCATGATTGATAGACTAATTGAAATTGGAAGGTGCTATGGCATGGAAATGAATGTGGAGAAAACAAAAGTAATGAAAATTTCGAGACAACCAACCCCAGTCACAATAAAGATAGACCAAAAACAAGTGGAGAATGTGAAATGTTTTAAATATTTGGGTAGCTTGTTAACAGATGATGGAAGGTGTACTTGTGAAATTAAATCCAGGATTGCCATGGCAAAAGCTGCATTTAGCAAGAAGAAGAATCTTTTTACCAGCAAATTGGACTTAAATTTGAGGAAGAAACTAGTGAAATGCTACATTTGGAGCATAGCTCTGTATGGGGCTGAAACATGGACACTTAGGGCAGTAGATCAGAAACATCTGGAAAGTTTCGAAATGTGGTGTTGGAGAAGAATGGAGAAGATCAGTTGGACCGATTATGTGAGAAATGAAGAAGTGTTAATTAGAGTCAGTGAGCAGAGGAATATCCTACATGAAATAAGAAAACGGAAGGCTAATTGGATTGGTCATGTTTTACGCAGAAACTGCCTTCTAAAAGAAGCTATCGAAGGAAAGATAGATGGGCGGATAGAAGTGACAAGAAGACGAGGAAGAAGACGTAAGAAGATGCTGGATGACCTTGGGGACAGAAGAGGATACTGTCATTTGAAGGAGAAAGCTCTAGATCGCATTAAGTGGAGGAATTGTTTTGAAAGAGACTGTGGACCTGTCGCCTTGACAGATTACTGATGATGATGATGATGAGGTAATTTTTATATGTTATTGGCCTTCTGAAAGACTCAGTTTTGTCAAATTTTCAAAGAATTTGTTATCTGTTCATTACAGTTCAGTTCTACAGTCTGTTCATGCATATATATGTATGGTATTTCTTTTTTTTTTTTTTTTTTTTTCCCTCCATGGTATCTGACAGATTTGTATATTTGCTTATGGGTCATTTTATTTTCTTTTATGTGCATGTACGCACACAATAGATTGTCATCAGTTTAAACCAAAAGCTATGTGTTCCGTTCAATTTCAGCCTTCCGATTTTCATATGCTTTCCAAATAGTGTGTTCTAAAGGGAAGTTGAAAATCATTGGATTTAAAGTATCCCCTTGAAGAAGACAATTTGTATTTTAATTAAACAGTTACATTTCCACTGCACACTCCAATGGAAATCTGACCATTTAATCATGTGGAGTACTGTGCTACCTAATTTTACTGAATGGGATCAGTGACTCCAGAATATTGGTAATCGCATACAAGACTACACAGTGTCATAAGCCGGACAACCATAATATAAAAATCTACAAATAAATGTGAATACCGATGGGCTACAGCCTGGACAGCCCGTGTTCGATTCTTGGCAGTGCAAGATTTTTCCCTGTGCTACAGCATCCAAACCGCTTCTGGGGCCCACACAGTCTCCTATCCAGTGGGTACCTGAGGCTAGTTCTCCGGGTGTAAATTGGCAGGGGCTTGAACTTGACCGCACATATAGTGCCAAGGTCAAGAAATGTGGGGCTATACCTCCGCTCCACCATATGTCTTCATGGCATAGTGCTTAACTAATTAAGCACAGGGACAACTTTATTGGTTTTAATGTGAACTTAAATATTTCTGATTGCACTGTAATTTCATGAAGAGTTAAACAGTTCCGTCTCGTGTGACTGGTGAAGATTTTTCTTATTTCAGTTATTTATGCCCTTACATGTTTTGCTTTTCAGAGACCATCATCAGAGGGACACCTTTACATCAATACAGTTGGAAGTTACTATTACAATATATGTTCTGAACGTTAAAATATATACATATAATATTAATAATATACAGTTGGGTATAAAATCTAAAGGTTTTACAACTACAGCGGCTGATCCAATACATTAAAATATTTGTAATTGGTTTGTTGAAATTTTATTGGAATTTATAAGCCAAGTAGGTTCGTGTTGTCTTTCTTATTATTTCTCTTGAAGGGTGCTGAACGTGTGTCGCCTTGTTCTCGAGAAGAGGGTTCTTTGTTGTTGTCCTGTACGTATATATGTGTTTATGGTGCGCTGTGTTATTTTTAGTGTACTGTAATTGATTGCAGTTAAACTTGTGTTGCAAGTGAAAGGTAAATTGCTCTTGTGACTAAGCAGCAGGTCATGAAACTATGAGTGGTGCTACAAAGGTAAAGCTGTTTATTTCACGTGATCCCTAATAAGTAACTTAGAAAACTATGGAATTAGAATGACTAAGATCATGTAAAGTTTCAGTATATTCTATATGACCTTTCAAAGCTGATTTTTAAGTACTACTGATTTATTAATATTAAATTTACATATTTTCCAACCATATGGATCAATTTTTTATTCATGTACTTGTTCTTCTTAGATCTGATAATTGCAGAATATATTTTTATTGGTATGGCTAAATCTGTGGGAAGAAAAAGTACATTTTTTAAACTGTGGGGTGGGTATCGGTAGTAGTTAAAATCGGCCGATCTAAAGACAAATAGAAACTGCTCAACAGTTTTTCCTGAAATTCTGAAATATGTTAAAATCTGTTTGGCGCATCTCGAATAATTATACTGGTTCATAAAGGCTTAGCGTCTATCGAATGGAGCAATTGTAACAGATGTTCCACAGGAATGCGAAAGCGCCTATAGACGTTTAATCCGAAGTGCAGTGTAGGTCCATTACGAATGAAATTGAATATTAAATAAATACGTATGTAGCAATTGTTTTACAATGAAACATTGGCACAAGCTGATACGGTTACGAAACAACGCTGAACAAGACCTCAGTAGATTATAGAGGGTTCTGATGGTGGATAACACAGAATTACTGTTTTTTTTGGATTTTTTCCATCGTCCGGAATTCTAGGAAATAGAAAACCCCATGGGAAAAGTTCAACCCAGTAAGATCTCAGTAGTACTCGTATTATCACAGTTAGGCCAACTGCTGTTAAATGTGTTGAAAAGCTTTGCAGTTCAAAATATCGAGGCACATGCATTGGAAATATTAGTTTAGGGGATACGTGGTATGTTTATGAATAGAAAGCACGAATACTTATAACCGGTATAAATTATTATTCAGCCGCTCCTCTCGAGGGACAAGAGAAAAATAACAACCTTGATTAGTGTAGCCTTCTAGTGGCCGACGGTTGAACCAAATGATAAGACTCGTTCTACCTGCTCAGAGAGAATTATAGTAACGTGTTCTCATTTCTTACATAAGTTTTTAATATGGGGTAACGAGAATTATTTTTTCCCCACCGAATTTATTGTAGACCTGCAGAAAGAGACTAAACTAAGAACTAAGCAATATTTTCTAATTACCGACAAAGTATTTAAAAATATGCTTTTGGATATGGAATATGATAGCCTATTTGATCGATAAGTTATATGCTTATATAAATTTTTTTTCTACCATGACCACAATTAATATTATAGAGTCCGCTACACACGCCTACAAGATGGGTGCCAAACGCTTGATGGCTGCATATTTCGATCTGTAATTTTATCATTAGGCCTAATACGTTCTACGAAAATCATTTCAATTACAGATAGCACGTAGTTCAAAAATGGGCAGCCAAGCATCATGATCGATCTGGCTGCTACGTCGAATCCATTAAATTTATATACCCACTTCATGTATCTATTGTAGTCATGTTATTTAGAGCTTCATATAAGTTAAAAGTTCCATTTTCTTTTTTATCACTGGAGGGAATATGACCAGTTCTTACTACTACTTGCTATAAATGACTGGACCTGTTTACATTAGGCACACAACAAAATGAATTGTATGTCAAAATATTTCACAATTTTTGTCTGTCCGAATATCAGCTCCCAAGACTCTGCGGATGGATAGCCGTTCCCACCAAGGTATCATATTTGTTCAAATTAAATATAAGACAAACAGCCAATAAATTAATACAGTTAACTGGAAGTTGTTTACTACTCTGGAGACAGAGACAGCGAATGCAGAATTTATTAACGTTTGAATCTCTGTGACCTTCGGTTCTTTGAACGCCTATCAGCAAAGAAAATTGATTTTCCTGATTGAAATAATGTTGACCACTCCTAACTCTCCAGGCGTATAGGTGTAGAAAGGTTATTGTGAGATAATTTTACTTTTGTCAGTGCAGTGTTACAGGCATGCGAATTGAACAGATTTAAGTTACCCGTACTGAACAGAAGGCACCATCACCTGTAACATTACAGAACTCTGAATCCTACCCACAGATTGGGCTCATGGATTTCACATGCTCCTTGGAATAAACCGAATCTCCCACCCCCCATAAAACAACATTAACGGGCTGGTTTCTGCTATAGAGACGAAGTGTTCAGATTAAATTCTTGTGGGATGCGACGCTACGTAGTTTAATAGATCATACCAATGTTACGTTACTTCCAGTGTCGGGGATACCCCGTCAAGCAGGAATTAAATTTTTAAGCATTATTTAGACCAATTTAAAGCGTCAAATAGTTAATATTATGGAATATGCAGAAAGAAATGTACATCAGTTGTATTTTAATTGTATGTAACTTCCTGTATATATGTATTCTTGTATGTAACTAAATTACTTTTTCCTCCCCGCGATTTAAGTCCGTTCTGAAGTAAAATTTGGCTCTCCATTGTTACTGAGTCTTCATATATTCATTTCTTTGGGGGTGGGTTATATGAACACATTTTATTTCGAGATCTTCTCCTCTTCCAACATATTTATAATTTCTGCGACCATTTTTCATGTTGTCGAATACACATATCTGTAGTTTGCAGGCTGATTCATTTATGTCATACTTATTTATCTGTCACTTAATCAACTCATATAATTGCAATACATTTGTAATATACCACAGCTTTTTAGATAAGGCTGATCAAGATAGAAGCAGCGACTGGGCTCATATTTCTTGCGATCTGAAACGAGTTTCCCGAAAGTTGAGAAGTGTAAGTAAGTATTGTTCAGGTAAGTAAATCAGATTAGTGAAATCCTAGACCTAAATCCAGATCTGTCCCAGAAAATCCAGGCCATAAAATTTCAAAAATTCTCCGCGGGGTGTCTGAGCGTTTGTCGGAGTGGTGCAGTGCGCGTGTCGGGTGCGCAGAAGTTCAGCTCGCTCGCGCCTGCATATCGACCTGCAGACACGGACGGGCGACCGCCGGGCAAGCCATGAGCTAGCAGCCATCCTGTAACATAACCTTCCCTCAGAAGCCATGAAGTGTGTAAGGCTGCTCGCGGCAGGCTGTCTGCTTTTCTGCGCGCTCAGCAGACCTAGCCTTCAAAATGACCAGCAGTTATACGATGGACAAGACGATTACGCAGCGAACGAAACCTTCACTGGCAGCAGAGGAAATGTTACCAAGGACCCTCTGTTCCCTGAGGATCTGTTCACCATGGAACAAAGACGTCACGGAGCCGTGGTCCTCCATATCCTTGGTGTCGTGTACATGTTCGTGGCCCTCGCAATTGTCTGCGACGAGTTTTTTGTTCCGTCACTGGACGTCATCATTGAAAAGCTGGCCATTCAGGACGATGTAGCTGGCGCCACCTTCATGGCGGCTGGTGGTTCAGCACCAGAACTCTTCACTAGCGTCATTGGAGTGTTCGTGTCTTTCGACGATGTTGGTATTGGCACCATCGTTGGCTCAGCCGTCTTCAACATTCTGTTTGTGATTGGAATGTGCGCCATTTTCAGCAGGACTGTGCTCACTCTCACCTGGTGGCCCCTGTTTCGTGATTGTACCTTCTACTCCGCCAGTCTCATCACACTTATTATTTTCTTCCGGGATAACCACATCTACTGGTACGAGGCATTGGTGCTGTTCGGCTTCTACCTGGCCTATGTTTCCTTCATGAAGTGGAACCATACAGTAGAGCGATTCGTCAAGAAGCACTTGTATAAGAATAGAGTGACCCGCGTTCGCAGCACGGACCAGCTTATGCCCTCGGTAAGTAGTGACTCTGCATGCAATCTATGGCCAGGGTACCCGGTCTCCCAGTCGGTGTCTAATGGGGACAGCACTAAACGTAACAGGCGCAGCTAACCGTATACAACATTAAATGCAGCTAACGAAAATTTTAGTTTCTTCACAAGGAGGGCTAATGGTGACACCTACTGAGTTCCACAAACTGTCGAGCAGAGGGCTTCTGGAGAAGCTAGCACTGTTCAGCTAGTCAAAAAATTGACTCACTTTTTATGGAACTCGATGGCCATTGTCGTGTTCACAAGAGCCCTCAATTAGTCACTACTGCCACAGTGTTACGTAATTTGACTACATTCTTCTTGGTGGGGTGAGACTGAGCCCACTTGGTACTGCGGCCACTACTGACCCATTATAGTAGCCCCGGATGATAGATGATTGTGACTGTGGAGCAACGGGTGGAATGAAGATTGGCAGGGAAACCGAAGTACTTGGAGAAAACCTACCCCAGTGCCACTCTGTCCATCACAAATCCCACATGACCAGACCTGGGCCACCAGGGTGGGATGCCAGCGACTAACCGCCTGAGCTATGGCGCGGCCCAATTTGACTACATAGTCCTAGATCATTATTCACTCTTTGATGAAAACATTTGCGTTAGCATGGTATAGTTTCATTACCAGATGCTACAGTACTCTTGTAGTAATTTTATAATTTATACGTCGCTGTAATTCACACTTCTCCCTCCTTAATAAGCCCCTGTCTCAGTGCAGAGATCTGACTGATCTATTTACGGTCAGTCCCAATGAATTTCGTTGATTTATAATACCTGGCACCATGGCCAAGGACATGTGTTGATGGCTGTCAGATCCATTCAGTCCGTGAAGAGGAACCGCGTCGATTTAATAGAGAATGGGAGTAAAGGGGGGGGGGTAAATTTTGTGGTTGTTATATATGATACTTGGGTAATTTAATATGGAAAGAATTAGTTTAAATATTTCTTCTAGCATGAAAGAATTTACAATGAAATTTCTCTAACCATAAACCGCGTCATTGTGTGGCAATACTCCAGGGTAATAGAGCTTATCTCTGCTTCCATCATCACGGATGTCTTGGCCAAGAGGACAGGGTTCTTCTGAACGAACGGATAATGTATTCCTACCTACCTTCCTACCACCCGGCGCTACAGCCCTGGGTGAGCCTTGGCCTCCTCTACAACCAGTCTCCATATTGTCTGTCATTCTCGGTCACTCCACATCAGCCCCTGATGATGGACTTAGAGGCAGTCTCTGAACTATTGGAGTTTCATTCTACAAAGACGTGGCCCTTCGCCTTAGACGATTTCATGCATTTAGCTGCTGTGAAATTTTCAAGTTGTATGTGTAACAATTCAGGCACGTGTAGAAATCACACGAAAGAGTTTCTGCCGAGTTTGTTCTGTGGGATATAAAACGGAAGTAGTTGTATATCCAGGAGGAACATAGACTGAGGGTGTTTGAGAACAAGGTGTTGAGGAGAATATTTGGACTAAAGAGAGATGAAGTCACGGGAGGTTGGAAAAAACTTCATAATGAGGAGCTTCATAATTTGTATTCTTCTCCAAGTATAATTAAAATGATCAAGTCAAGGAGGATGAGGTGGGCAGGTCATGTAGCACGAATGGGGGAGACGAGGAATGCGTATAGGATATTGATGGGAAAGCCAGAAGGAAAGCGACCACAGGGAAGACCAAGGCGTAGGTGGGTGGAGAATATTAGAATGGATCTTAGAGAGACAGGATTGGATGGATCTGGCTCGGGATAGGGACCAATGGAGGGCCCTTGTGAACATGGTGAGGAACCTTCGGGTTCCATAAAATGCTGGGAAATTCTTGAGTAGCTGCAGAATTGGCGGCTCCTCAAGAAGGGCTCAGCTCCATGAGTAAGTAAGTAAGTAAGTAAGTAAGTAAGTAAGTTGTATATCCGACCCACCGGCATGCAAAACACTACTCTGAAAGGAGAAGTAAAACGAATGTAAAATATTGATAATATTAAAATTTTTTTAAGTTTTTCTTGCTGAGCTTGTAGTTTAATTTATCATTTTATAGCGGTTACAATATTTCTGAGGTTTATGTGCATCGCAAAATGAATCTGATTTATTTACTGACAAACAGAAAAATAAATTGGCCCATGTTTGTCTTCGATCATTATTAATTGTCGCAGAAGCGTCTTCAAAGTGATTAAGTAACCCAAGTGATGCAAACAGGATATGTATTCCAGCGTGCTTCCTGTTGCAGACTGGAATGTATCGTGTTTGCTTACTGTAGTGAAGTTCGGCAGTGTAGGTCCAACTTTACAGAATTTAGGTTAGATAATGCTTTCTAAATATGTCAAACATTATATTGGTACAATAAATAAGCCATTGTCACGGCCGCGCCATAGCTCAAGCGGTATTTTTTTACTGATCTTGGGGTGGGCGCCACTTTGTCCACCATAAATCCCACTTGATCAGACCCGGGATCGAATCCGGGCCACGCCATAGCTTAAGCGGTTAGTCGCTGGCTTCCCACCGCGGCGGCCCGGGTTCGATCCCGGGGTCTGGTCAAGTGGGATTTGTGGTGGACAAAGTGGCACTGGGGTGGGTTTCCTCCGAGTACTTCGGTTTCTCCTGCCAGTCTTCATTCCACCAAATTCTCCATCATCATAATCACCCGGGGCAGGCTACAATAGGCCAATCAGTGGCCGTCGTGCCGAGTGGACCCAGCTGGGCTCCACTAGCGAAGTAAAAAAAAGCCATTGTCACAGAGCATTGAATAATCATATTTCCTTATTGTTTTAATGGCTCTCCCTCAACTTAGCGACTGGCTACGGGCTAGACGACAGAGGGGTCGGAGTTCGAGTTCCGGTAGGGTCAAGAATTTTGTCTTCTCCAAATCGTCCAGGCAGGACCTGGGGCCCGCCCAAGAACAAAATTAGCGGAAGACTATATATATAACTTTAGAAAAAGGGTAAAACGTATTAATAAGGAATATTAGAAAATGGTTCTTTTAAGTGAATGGTAAAGTGAAAATATTAATACAGGTGGACTGTGGACAACCTGACAACCATTCCTTTTTGGAAGACATACAAGTAAAATATATAACGTGATTACTGAGCAGGAACAGTAAGCCTCTGGGACTTGCTATTATAAAGGGCGATGTGATTGATACGTGTTGAGGCTATAACATTGTTGCAACTCACCAACGACTTCTGGACGTTATTCACTAATTGCGGAAATGGCAAGAAAGCGCACATCTGTAAATGATACTACCCATGCATCAATGAAGCAATTGTATGCTCAGGAAACAGTGATGTCGGCCATATCAGTGCAGAAGATCTCAACAGTCTTGCCTGACAAAGTAAAATAAGTGTAGATCCCCATTCTACACGTACACAGGGCCTGCGCGAAGATGCAATTCCCACTTGAGTTTGTTTCCTAGTAGATTCTGTTGTCCAGGTGACTAATGACATCAGGCATACATATAAATCACAAGCGATCGTATTATTTTTGTTGCCGAATACGCCATGTTATCTACATAAACATGCCAAGTGTCGATTTGGGGTCGTCTGATGGTTACAGATTAGAGGTCCCGGCGCTGTTCTCCTGACTCGGTCTGTAGGGACATTTTCTTCGGGTATGATAAATGATACAAACTCCGTCCTAAGTGCAAACAATATATATTTATATGTCTTTGATCTTGTTCTTTCTACACTACATGTTTCGGCCTCTATCGGCCATCATCAGGTGTATACTCTTAACGTTGCTGCCACACTGAACCCAGTCTAAAACTTAACATTTAAAAACACAATGTCACATTCTTCGTATTATCAACATCTACATCGTTGATATGTGTCTGGTANAGAACAAGATCAAAGACATATAAATATATATTGTTTGCACTTAGGACGGAGTTTGTATCATTTATCGTATAGAGTGCAACAGGATGCTTAAATATAATATTCTTCGGGTATATTTTGAAAAGGAAAGAGACATTTCATACCTCTACAAACCGAGTCAGACTTCATGATAAATATTAAGTATATTTCATACAACCGCATCAAAATATTATCAATGCTCAGAGAACCGACACGGCACATAGAAACGAAAGACTATTCGCTCGTTCGTGGCCTACATAGCCTACGGTAAAACAGTGTGTATGATAACACGAAATTGCATAGTTTCAGAGCTTTCACTCACCGTTACAAAACTTGATATATATAAAAGTTTTCTTTAAGTCGTTTTACTGCAGACTTCGGACTTTACTCTTAACACCTTACTGTACACGCGGTGTGGAATTACAGGCATTTTGAAGATACAGAGAAAGTTGTAGAACAACGTAACAGAATATCATGTACTGTTTATAATTCATATTTACTACCCGTATTTGAAAAAAATATTTTGGCGTATAAACCCGTTGCTAAGCGATGACTCTGTAAAAACGACTGCTTCTGGGCAACGGCTCTGTAAACACGTTCTCGAGGCAACGAATTCTCACGCAACAATAGAGTTACTTTTCGAAACGGGGTGTTTCTCCGTGGTCCGTGCCGAGGTGTTACAAGCAACGGACAAAGTCAATTCAGAGAGTTCTCCATAAGAGGCTGAAGAATCTCCACTGTTTAAAGCCATTGCCAGGGAACGGCTGGTGAAGACACAGAAGGCTGGAAAAGGCTGTGGCGATTTGTGAATTGTGGAGATTAGCGGTGATGCTGTAATTGCTTGTAGTTCCGAGTGGCGTGTATGAGTGGTCAATAAATTCATTCATCAATCCAAACTCCATCTATAGTCACATACATATCACATGACATCTGATGTCAGAAGTTATCGGATTGGAAACTGCATTGACTCCTTATACCGCCATATTACAAAAAAGAAGGAACAAAGGATGGCATAGCTTATAGCCATGATGGAACAGATAACAGCCAATGTAGAAGCCAATACGAATGTCTTGCGAAAAGGGAATAAGGACTGCCGAGAAGCAATGGAGGCCTGATTAGAAAATATGAAGGCCG